GGAGACAAACCTCTGGGCATGCTTGTGAAGAAGCTTCCAGATTGGGTTAATTCAGGTAGAACGACCCACCCTGAATGTAGGTGGTGCCATTTCATGGTCTGGGATCTCAGACTGAATAAAAAGGAGAAAACGAGCTAAGGGCTAGCATTCATCTCTCCCTGCTTCCTGACTGTGGATGCAGTTTGTCCTGCCAACATGCCTTCCCCTATGATGGACTGTGCTCTTAAACTGTGAGCCAGAGTAAACCCCTGCTTCCTCCAGTTGCTTTGTTTAGGTATTTTGCCACAACAGTGAGAAAAGCAAATGATACAGATGGGAACTGTGTTGGGGAGGAGGGAACAGGAGGCAGAGCCTTTGATGGTGGGTTGGTGGGTGTGTGCAAGTCAGTTAACCAGCACCCCTTGAACAGAGTGAAACCATCCCAGGAAGCCTGCCATAGAGAGCTCAGGAAGAATACTGTTGTTTTTCTGGGAAGTCCACAGCAGTCCACAGAACTCTGTCAGCCCTGCAGAACTCCAGTATCGCTGTCCTCACCAGCACATCATCGGTGATCTTGATCTGCAGAATATTTGCCTTCCAGGGTATATACTGAAGAGATTAGACTCAGATAAATTACTTGAGAGAGAGGCATTGTTAAAATCATTTTTATTTTTAATCTGGAAGCCGAATTTCTGTCAATCTCTCCCTAGCCTGGTAATTAGATACACAAGTCAATGGTGTGTATGTTTGTTGTGGAGCAATGTGATTTGTTGAATCAGTGTGCTGACATGCAAGTGATCGCACCCACAGCTTAATCCAACATTTTTTTTGTGCCTGAAACTGGCAGTGTTCTCCTCTCTGTTGACTTGATTCCATATGTAAAAAGGAAGCCATGTATTGGTGTGATCTGAACATTTTTACCACACCAGGAAAACAAAGGACCAAAGTCTTTCCTTGGAAGATGTTTCACTTACAAGAATGGCGGTTCATCCCCCGCCCCCAAAAAATGTCCTTTTATATCAGTTCTTTCTGCCTTGGATCTGTTTGGTCTCAGCTGACCTTTCCCTTTTGGTTAGAGATATTTGTAGAATGTCACCCTCAGCCATCCAAAAGTGGATATCCAGAGAACGATGTCCCTTGAGTTCTATGTGTGAGCCCTGTGTTCATTACTTCTTGTCACTGTGTGATAGAATGCCTGACAATGCAACAAAGGAAGGGAGGGAAGGACGGAGGGAGGGACCGAGGAGGGAAATAAGATTTTTTGATGGGATTCATATAGAGAACATCATGGCGAAGAAGGTGTAGCGACAGGAGCACATGGCTACAACTCCTCACATCTTAGAATAGCAAGTGGAGCCAGGCTATAAACTCCAAGCTCAGCACCTCATTTCCACCAGAGATCCACCTCCTCAAGCTAGACCCCACCCCCCAAAGGTTCCATAACCTCCCAAAACAGCACCAACAACTGGAGACCAGGTGTTCAAACACCTGAACCTGTGGGAGACATTTCACATTCAAACTATCCAGGAAGGGTGAGTGTGTGGTGCAGGCAAATCTGGCTCTGTAGGCGTGGCACAGGGGGTGTCTATAGGCTGGCATGTTGTTCTTTTTTGTAATATTTTGGCTGATATTTTTATCTTATTTGTTTAAGTGTATTGCCTGCATGTATATAAGTGTATCCATGTTGTGCAATGCCCAAGGCGGTCTGAAGACAGCATTGAAGCCCTTGGAACTGGAGTTAGAGACAGTTGTTAGCCACCTATGGGTGCTGAGAATGGAACCCAGGTCCTCTGTAAGAGCAGCCAGTGCTCTTAACCGCTGAGCCATCTCTCCAGCCCAAATGTCACTCTTTGACATCTCTGCCTAGTGCCCAAAATTATTGACTGAATGTTTCATATGGATTATTTGATGATTTCGTCAGACTTACAGAGCAAGGTTATGGTCGAGTGGGTCTGGTAGCTTCCATTAGCCACAGAAGTCAAGCAAAATTTTGTTCTTGATCGTAGTGCTGTGAAAGTGTCTCTTAATGACAATTATGTTTGTGTGCACATGTGTATATTTATGTGTGTGTAGATACATTGGGTACATGTGTGCACACATGAGAAAACCAGAAGTTGATGTCTGGTGTCTTTGACTGCTCTTCACCTTAATTTCTGAGACAGGATCTCTCACTGCACCTACATTGATTCAGCTAGACCAGGCTGGGCAGTGAGCCCCAAAGATCCACTTGTCTTTGCCTCCTCAAAGTACTGGTGTTTTTTGAAGCTTTTGGATATTGAATTCAGTTCCTGGTGCTTGCACAGTAAACAGTTTACAAACTGAGCTTTTTCTCTCCAGCTCCAGAGAATAGGTGACTTCTATTGTGGCAAAAGATTACCAATTTTCATTGTTTAAAAGACCTTTTACATATGACTTCCTGCAAGATGTTTGAAGAGGAATAATTCCAGTGATTCTATCCTCCATCTTATGCATGGCACACTCTCAAACACTAGTCATGTTTATGCATTTATGCAAAGTTTTTTCTTCCAAGACTGAAGTTAAATTATAGTGTCTTATTTACGATTACAGTCTAAGGGCATGAATTAAGTAGAGCGCCCTACTCTCAGCTGTCTGTCTTCCCTTTCCCTATCCCTCTTAAAACCCAACTGAGGAGCCGGAAGCTCAAACAGGCCTGGAAATGCAAGTTGCCCTGTGGTCCACAAGAGCCAAGGTTCATGGTCCTCTTATTTAGAATGAGGTACAGGCTCCCTGGAGTGCGCCACTCAAGCAGGGACAGCCTTAGAGAGCCACAGCCTGGGTGACCTGCCCATGGGTGACTGCTGACAGCACAGAGGAGGATGGAGACAGGTATGGTCCTTCTTCAGGCCTTGGGGTTCCTAATGGTAATGTCCTTTGTTCTGATTTCCAGTTAGGTCATTGGCCATGTGGAAGAAACACAGTCCAGGGGGTGTTGATGCCAGATGAATAGAAAAGGACTCATAAACAGTACAAATCTTTGAGTAAAAATTGTAACATTTCCTCAGGTTTCACTCAAAACAGTACAATTCAGTGTAAATCTGAACTTAAATATTTGACCAATAAACTGTCAAACTCAGTAAACATAGAGAAATGCAAACCAGGTTGAGTAACTTTTGCTTTGGAAGAAGGAAACAGAGATAATGATAAGGACTGAAGTTTGCTGACTCACAGAGCCTCTTCCTTGTCCACTGAAGACAATATTTTTTCTCCCATCCTTGCTTCCTCAGTCCTCCAGGGCACCAGGCCTGTTCAGTTTCCCAAGATAAAACCCAGAACATTGTTTGTGGCTGCTCTACCTCTGACCCCAGCACCAGGTACTATTGAGACATTAGAAATGATTCTCACCCTGGATTTTAAGCATAAGCCTTGGTTTAATTGCGATCATTTGTACCTTCCAGAGTGGCTGCAGGTGGCTGCAGAGAACAGAGCGTAGTCCCTCACGCAGGTCTCTTACCATCTCTAGGGCACAACTCTGACCCAGCAGTGTGAATTCCAAGAGACCGTGTGTTCAGGTGCACCTTTCTCTGGGCCTTGGGCCTTGGGCCCTATAGGTCTTTTCGTCTAGTT